GCAACGGCCGCCATCTTCAGCATCTCTACTATCTCAGGTGAGTGCAAATGTCAGGGGTGAATTCTTCGGATAAAGGGGGGGAAGTTTTGGATGCGGAAGCTTCGTCTGCAGGGCAGTGCGAACACAGCCCTTCGCTTAACCCTTGGGACGCCCTCAGTGTGTATTCAGATTGCAGTGGTGACAGGAATTTTCTAGCTGCGGGTATAGGACTTGTGGCTAGTGTGGATGATGCTACTAGCATTGCTTGTGAAGAGGGTGGCTGCGACACGGAGGCAGGAGCCCCAGTTGCAGAGACCACAGGGCCCTCGAGAGTCGAGGCAGCAGCTGCTCCAGATTTGGTTGCTTCGCGTGCATTCGAGCAGGCTCATGTTCGCATGGATGCTGACCTGGCATCCTTCATGCTGCCTTGGGAAACCCCGCTCATGAGGACAATCTTTTCAGATGACGACCCCACGGTGCTGGCATCCCTCACTCCCGCGGTCTTCCGTGTTCCAGGTAGTGTGCCCCTGGTGCCGGGCCCTCCGGTGCCCAAGCCCGGCAAGAAACCTTCAAACCCGTTGCTCAACCCGGAGTCTCTAGCTGCTCATGCCATCCGGCCTCTCAAGGACGAGGACGACTCTTCCAAGGAAGACCGGTTGCTTAGACAGGCGGTTGCTAAGTGGGCTCTTGTGCTTGGTCGCTACTGCAAAGAGTTCAATCTTGTGCATTGTGAAGAAGAAGAAATCCTTGCATGCTTCGGATCCCGCTCGGTCCACACCGTCACAAAGAGGGCCAATGGTTTCTTGTCATATCTTAGGTGGTTTGACGTATTGTCAGGTTGCCAGGGCTCGGTCTTCAGTGATGCTGTGTACTGGAAGTACCTAGCCTTTCTGGACGCCTCGGCAGCAGCAGCATCGTCAGCCAGCTCGTTCTTGTCGTGCTTGAGGTTCGCCAAGCACGTCATGGGCATGGGCAACGTTGAGGACCCCAGTCGCCGTTGTGTGGGCCGAGCTGAGAAAATTTTGAGTCGCTCAGGTGTAGTCAAGCAGGCTGCACCGTTGAGCGTGGCACAGATCTGCAAGATTCATGACCTTCTGCATGCAGAGGGCACAAGCCGATGGGACAAAGCTCTGTGTGCATACTTGTTGCTTTGCTTGTATGGTCGGGCAAGGCACAGTGATTTTAGAAACATCGAGCGTGTGGAGTGGGACGTCACGCCACTGTCCGAGGGAGTCGCCGAGGAAGGTCACGA